ATCACGTCTTTTGATAGGCTTGTTCGTTGAACTTTTATTCTTCCGACCTTAATATGTTGTTCTTTCTCTTCATCAACTTCATTATCTCCATCCAAGTCCAGCAAGTCTTCCTGTTCCGAAAAGTCATTCACGCCCGAATCTTCCGAAGTAGTCGAGTTATCGCTTGAACTCGTCCACTCTGAGTCTGAGTTACTGCTCTCGCATTCTTGTGCGGTAACTTAACCTTTATCAGTCTTTTCGAGTGGGCGTTCATCAACTCCTTTGTCCTCGGATGAAAGGTCACTTTCATTTTCCCGCGAATCGCTAAGTTTTTTCACTTTCGGGTTTTTGAGCAGAGGTTTGCCCGTTTCTTTTGTCCTTTTTCCATTTCGTGCGGCGATTCTCGGGTGGCTCCTTGCTATCCGTATTCTCGTCAATGACCTTTCTGTCAAATCTGAGTTTGACCTTTCTGTGTTACGATTTGCCTCTTCCAACTCGTCAATTTCTTCGAGGCTCAACAATGACCTTTTAGTCCCTTCATTTTTCTCGGATGACCTTTCGTCAGGTTTTGCCTCAGGTACTGGGTTTTGCTGTTCATTCGATATCCTTTCCACTTCCTCTTTAAATTTTCTCCACATTTCTCCTCTGTCTGTTGACATTTGTGCTATGTTAAAAGCTGATGTACGTGATTCTTCCGTTTCCTTCGATCCGCCTTCAACCGTTTCCTTTTGTGTTTCTTCCTCCTCTGTTTCTTTTTGAACCGTTTCGTAACCTTTAGGTCGTTTCGGACCGACGAAGACACAATTTGCCATCAGCTCTTCAGTAACCCAATCATCGCTTGGAATCGTTTCGTACATGCACCACGTATCGCCACTTCGTCCTGGGTAGTCTACACCGTCTGGATCTGGTGCAAAGGTTACCTTTTTCTTTTGCATTAACCCCGGTAACCTTTTTTTCCGGGTTACTTGTAATTCTCTCATCTCCTTTACATCAAATATAGGAATCTCTGCTTCGAATTTCTTCCAATATTTGTCGAATACGTCCCAATCATCTTCTTTTAGTGCTTTGCAGAACACTTCCACTGACTCGTATACTGATGTCCCGAATCCTGTTGGGAATATAACCGTTCTAACTTGACCTTTATACATATGGTTAACGCGGAAGTCCCAAAATAATTCAATTCTTGCTTCTTCCCACAACTGTACTTCTTCATTCATTTCTTCTGTCTTTCTCTCAAGTTTCCGTTTCGTTGATACTGGGTCAAAAGGATCTTGGATTTCGTTATCCGCGCGTTGTTGCCAATGGTCTAGCCATTTCCCTCTCCCCATTATGAAGTTCTTTATGCCTGATAACCATGCCCGATATCTGTTCCAGTGATACCGTTCAATGTGCGGTTCCACATTTCGTTTGTCCGCATGATGCTTTTTACTTCCTTTTGAGCTTGACCTTTTAGGTCTGCTAGTGCGGCATTACATCTGGGCCACTCTGAAAGGTCATCTTGAGAGGCATTCTCGCGATATTCAGCACATTCCCATTGAGGCTGTACTCTGCATGGATCCTCATAGTAACCGTGGTGACAACTCCCGGCTCGTTCTTCTGGAGTTAATGTCCTTTGACTTGTTTGCGGGTTAACATCTTCCTGTGCTGTGGCATCTTGTGGAGTCGCGCTTTTGTCCTCAGAGGATATTCCGATGACCTCCGGTTCTTTTTCTGTTCTGTGGCTTTTTAACTGCTCAAGCGCCTTGTTGCGGATTTCACTTGTAAACATCTGTTCCTCTTCGGCTATTCGTTTCAGTACCCTTAACCTTTCACTCTTTTTATCCTTCCACACTTTAGCCGTCTTTATTCCCAGGGCCTCCGGTACTGGGATCGGCTTTGCCCACTCCGTGCCAGGCACGAGCGATTGTTTCGCTGCAGCTGTCGCTTCCTTCTGTGTGACAGCTATCTCTTCAAGCGTTGGTGACCTTTCGTCATTGATAGCAGAGTGTGGTTCGAAAAAGGGTTCCTTATGAGAGTCACGTTCTGTTGCTTCTTCTTTAGTTTTATCTGGTGACCTTTCATTTTGGGTAGCAGATCGTGGTTCGGAAAAGGTCTTGCTGACGTTTTTCGGATCCGGCTCTGGTGCCAAGTTCTCAACTCGTATCGCCGGTGACTTTTCATCTTTCGTTCCCAGTGCCTCTGGTACTGGGATAACTTTTTCAACATTTCCATTTTCATTTTTCGTTTCCAGTGCCTCTGGTACTGGGACAATTTCTTCTTGATGCACTTTCAACTCTTTCTGTTGTGTCATTCCCGGTGCCTCTGGTACTGGGATGACGTTTTCTCTTCCCTTGTGTGTCAGCATTGACCGATTCAATGTGTTTTAAATTTCCTGCTGGATCACTTTCAACTGCTCGAATGTCGACAGTTCTTTTTGCTCCAGCTTTTTCTTTTCTTTTCCCGGTGCCTCTGGTACTGGGATTAGCGTTTTATTATCCGTTTGAGCATTTCCCGTCTATTTTACAAGTTCGGTGACCTTTCCGACTTGTACTTTAGCAACTGGTTTCGGGTAATCTTCTTTCTCTTCTTCGCCTTCGTTATCCATCAGTACGAATTTCTTTTCCAGGAAGTCAAATCCGAGTAACACCTGTACGTCGTCACACTTCCGTCGGACGTAGAATGAATGCTCACTAGTCTTTTTCCTTAAGGTCACTGGTGCTACACAGTAGTGCGTCACCAGGAATCCTGACGTTTCGCTAATTCCATTTATCTTCACCAGTCTGTCTGGTGGCAATGGGAGCATATGCAGTCCATTCTTTTCACAAAACGGTTTGCTGATCAGCGACGTCTCCGCGCCGGTGTCTAGCATTGCATTGACCTTTATGTCTCCCACTTTCACTTCGTGAGTGTACGCTTCAATTCTCTTGGGCAATTTTCCGTTTTGAATCTTCAGGGTGTGAATCTTACATTTCACAGGGATGAGCGATACTGGTCCAGGATCCGTGTCGGGAAGCACTTGTCCTTTTGCTGGAGTGCTATGACCTTTCAGTATTTCGCTCAACTTATCAATCCTGTGTGGCACGTCAGTTCGGACATCGTAAAATTTCTGCGGCTTTTTCTTATCTGTTTGCTTCTCTGCAGCAATTTTACCACTGGTGACCTTTTCAGCATTCTGCACTTGCTCGTTTGCTTTTGTGCTGGTCATATGACCTTTAGTCACTTCAATTATCGTCTGATACAGCGCTTCTTTCTTTTCATCTTTCCTTTTATCTCGCAACTTCTCGATGACTTCACTTGTTATCTGGTCAGCTCTCTTCAGTTCATCTGCTTCACTATCTTTCATCTCGTCTGGAGACCTTTCATATGTAACTATATTGTATCCCTTTTGAGTCATCCAGTCGATCACCTTTGCTGACACTTCCTTGTTCGTTTTCGTCGGATCAATTTGCGAAGACATTCCATCAGTTCGGGCTGGTGACTTGTCGTTGACATCCTTTTGCGGTGCCTGTGATAAGTCCCGTGACCTTTCAATTGCGCTACTCTGTTGTGTTTGCGCCATCTTTTTTGACCGTCCTTTTTGTTCCTTTTGCGCTAAGTCCTGTGACCTTTCGTTGCGCTTTATGACAAATCCGCCGCTTGACAACTTTTGTATGGGAACTTTTTCTCCATAGTTTAACGGTTTATCTTTTGGTGGTGCATTTCGCGGGTAATTCGCGTCGGCGAATGTCTTCTTATATTCTTCTACGTTGAATACTGGGACAGGGTTCGGTGACCCTTTCGTTGGTTTCCCGGTAACCAACTCTTCTAATCTTTTCCTCTCATGTTGTGTTCGCAATTCTTGCATGTCCCAGTAACCTTCTTGTGACATTCCCGCTTTCTGTTTCGCTTTTGGCGTTACGGGTATTCACATCCCGTGATTCCCGTTAGGTCTGTAGGCCACTTTTCGCCAGATTTCCTTCCGTTGCAGCGTTATTGCATCTACAAGTGAATCGTCGGAATTCTGTTGTGCCGGTTTGCTATTCTTTTGCTGCGCTGTTCGCAGTGTCAAGTCTGTTTCTTGACCTTTTATCACGACGCTGTCCCGGTGACCTTTAGCGTTCGCACTCGCTCCATGACCATTCACGTAGACCTTTCCCACGGAAGGTGACCTTTCATCTTTACTGCCCGTTGTGGCATCCTGCTTTAAGTCTTTATCTTCCAAGCAACTGCAAATCTTGGTCGGATCTCCGTTTCCGTATATCCTGTCTCCATTACGCGACAGTTGCAACGTGGCTCTATGTCCGGTTGCTGTCCTTTCACGACTTCTTTCTGGGGTTGTGACCTTTGGTTATTCGTTTTGTTATTTTCTGCCAAGTATTTTCGGAATTTCGCATGTTGCTCATCGTCCACTTCTTCTGGTTCGCAATTACATTTTGTTTGTTGACAATTTCCACTCGCAGTATCATTCTGCGGTGATGACCTTTGATTCAGCAGCGCCTGTTGAATCTTCGCGTTTCGTTGTGCGCATCGTTGCGCTAACACTTCCTCGCTGCAATACGGTGACCTTTCACTTGGCTGCACTTTTTGCAGTGTCGCGCTACCGTCACGACAATTTCCACTCGCAGTACCATTCTGCGGTGACCTTTGGTCCCGTTGCGCGTTTCCACTCGCAGTACCATTCTGCGGTGACCTTTTGTCCGCTTGTGCTGGTTTCTCGATAACCAGTTCCTTTTGCTGCTGTGACGGCATCCATATAGCCGTTTCACATTCTTTTTGAGTCGACGGCATCGATATAGCCGTTTTTCTTTGCTGTGACGGCATCCATATAGCCGTTTCCTGTGGTTGCGGCATCCATATGGCCGGTCCACCTTCGTTGTGCACTGACGGCATCCCTATAGCCGTCGCAGTGGTCACGTTCACTGCAGTGCCATTCTGCAGTGGTGACCTTTCCGTTCCCCCTTTATCCGGTGGTTTAGGGTCGGGGCGATCAGTAGGCTCACCGGCGCCTACTGATCTTGCCCGTTTCCCTGAACCGGCGCACCACCTTGTTGCGCGCCCTGCACATTTCCTTGTTGTTGTCCGATATCGTCTGCCGGGTTAGGGTTCTGTCCTCCGGCGTTATCGTATTGGCCACCACCCTGTTGGTAGTTTCCTTGGCCACCTCCATTTCCGCCGCCTGGGTTGTTTCCGCGGCCGAAGCCTCTGCCACTTCCTCTGAAGCCGCCGCGGTATCCGCCACGGCCGTAGCCACCGTTATTCTGGCCACCACTATTTCCATTCCCGTAATTACCATTTCTATTTCCCTGCTGATTCTGGAAGTTCGCCTTCGCCTGGTACCATTGTGTAATCAAGTCGTATCCGTTTGCCACCGCTTGACGCCAGCCGCCCGTGGCGCGAAGCCGTTGCCATTCTCTGAAGGCAAAGAGGTTCGGATTCTGTTCTGGTGGTTTGTTGGCGAATTTGCACCCTTGCGTCTGGTGGTTTCCGTACATGCAGTGCTGACACATCTGCACTCCGTTTGCCACCCATCCGTCAATCAATTGAAACTTGAATTCTGTCCGTGACCCTTGTTGCTGCTGATAATTGTTCTGGTTTCCTCTGTTCGGCTGGAAGTAGCCTTGACCTTGAACTTGATTCTGGAAGTTTCCTTGACCTCCATTCCAGTTTCCGTTTCCGTATCCGTTTCCACCGAAATTTCCGTTGCCCACTCCTTGTTGTGGTACCCCAACATTCAAGGGGCCACATTCTGTGGTACCGGTGGGATCACCTGTTGGGGTATTGGTCTCACTTGAGCCGCTGCTTGTATTGCCGCTACCATTGCGTACGTTATCGGCTGTCCCGTCTGGCTGTCGATAAAGGTCATTTCCTTGGTGACCTCTCTGACCGGAGTTTCCACGCGGTATCCCACCGGCTGTTGGACTGGTGCAGCTGCCATCCTTTGTTGTGGTACATTTTCAACTTGGCCTTGGCGGATGGTCACGTATTCCTGATTACGTTGACCTTTTGGCGCCTTGTACTTTTCTTCTCCCGTTGCCCAATGTCGGAAAAAGTCCTTTACGTCGGTTGGCGTTCTGCACTTTTGTGTACGCAGGGCTTTGTAGAGTTCATTGTCCCCTCTGTATCCTTCGATTAAGAAGCCCACCGCTTGTTTTTCCGTGATGATCCTTTTTGCTTTGAACCGCATCATCGCCTGATAATACTGGTCAAGCGATTCTTTTCCGAGTTCGAATTTTCTTGCATAGGCCTCACGTAAGCCTAAGACTTCTTCGTCTCGGTCGCCATATTCATCTTTGAATTTATCCATCCATTCTGTAACCGTATATTCGATTCCGTCCTCTGATGCGACGTCCTTTTCGCTTTCGAACCAGGTTTTAGCAGGGCCTTTCACCGCGCTGGCTATCTCGATCATAATCTGGTTATCGGTGAGTTGGTACGTTTTTTGGGTGTCTTTTACCAGTCCTGTCCAACCATTCACGGTATCACGACTGCCGTCAAAGGTCATGAGAGGTGTTTTCCGTGCCATGGAGTTAAGTGCTTTTGCTAATGCGAAACCCCCTCTCGGATCCTCTTCTTCTTCGCTGCTTTCATCATCGTTTAGGTTTCGCTTCGCCTTTGCATAGCGGGATTTCCTTGGACGCTCTTGCCGGCTAGAGGGTCTGTCTCGTCGCCCTTCGTCAATGAATACGTTCGTTTCAATATGCGGGGGAAACTGGGAAGGATCGCCTCGACTCATATCCGGGTAACCTTCCGACAGCTGCTCTTTGTCCTCATTAACCTTTTCGCCGTTACTCCGTTTTAACGCTTCCTTTGCCGGTACCTGTTCGTAGCGGCATTTCGAAATGGAAGCTTTTGCCCGTGCCCGTTTCCTGTGCCTTACTGTAACTGGGCGGGGGCGATTCCAACGTTGCCGTTTTGACTCCGTATTGCAGGAGCTGTTCATCTTTGTGCTTATTCGACATATTGAGCGCTTTATTCTCGTCTTCGAGACGTCTGATTTTCAGCTCAGATTGCTCTTTCTCAACTTTTAAATTCTGATTCTCTTGGCTGACCTTTAGCATGTGCTGGTGAAGTTGAAAGGTCTTCTCCTAGATCATCTTCTCCGTATTGTTCTCTGCCTTTTTGATGTGTTCCGCCAACTGGGTCACTTCTCTTTCCAATTTTGTATATTCCTCAGCTGCTGCTTTCAGCTGGTTTTTTGTCTGGGTGACCTCATCTTCTCCTGTCATTACCGTTTGGGTCATGTCGATCAGCTCCGTATTGAGTCTGATGATCTCCTGTGTCTTCTGGTGTACTGTCTGTTGCCATTCTTTATCTTTCCGTTCGAGTGCCGTGACCAACACGTCTAAGCGGAGTGCTTCTCGCTCCCAGCTTAACCCTTGTTCGGCAATTGTCTTAGCGGCTCCTTTCAACTCGGTATTGTCTTCGGTGACCTTCTCGATCTTTTCTTTCAACACCTTATTCTCTTCCATGATCTGTCTTATTTCATTGCTCAACCGTGCGCCTTCGGTGGCTGTAAGGTCTCGCAAGTCTTTAGCCACCCTGACGGCATCGTCAGCTCTTCTCTGATGATCTTGTGATTCCTTCTGGAGGGTTCCGATACTCTCATCTCGAAGCTTCAGATCATTCCTGAGCTTGAGCACTTCAATAGTGTTTGTTAACAGTCGCTGGGTAGCTTCGGCGAGTTTGGTCGCATAATCGTCTCTTTTTGCTTCAGCTTCAGTGACCTTTTGTTTCAGTAAGTCACACTCGTCTTTCAATTCGGCTGGGTGCCGTGACCTTTCAGCTGATTCTTCCGACATACTCTCATTAAGGTCATTGACTGCGAGGTGACCTTCCATTTCTCTGTCATCTGCCATTTTCAGATACTTGTCAGCGAATTCCTTCTGCCTTTCGTATTTCACTTTCCAACCATCTGCGGCACTTTGAAGGTCACCCTGTTGCTGCTCCAGATCGAACAGGCGGGTCTCAAGTGCCGTCAGTCTTTCTCGATATTCCTGTTTCCGCTTGTCCGCCTGACGTTCGTTATCTTCAAGTTCGTTTTCCAATTCACTGACACGTCTCCTCAAAGTTGACGTGGGACTGTTCGGTGACGGTGGTCGCACATTAATGACCTTTCCTGTTTTTGTCCGTTCAATGAGATGCTCGGGTATTTCCTTGAAAGGTGTCATCCCTTCAGCACGGTCGGCTTGTCTCATCGCGGATTGGAAAGACATATTCATCGTCGTTTCATCATCCGTGAAATATGATTCATTTGATTCATCTGAGACCATTGGAGTTGCCAAAGGTCATCACCTACAGTCTTGTCGTTCAGTGAAAGGTCATCCAATCCAAGCTCAGCAAGTTCATCTTCGGTGACCTTTGTGTCTCCAATCTTCATGTGTTGGATTGTGTTGTAAAGTCAGAATGGCAAAGCCAGACAGCTACTTATTCAAGATGGTTGCCTGCGGTGAGAATCGTGGAGTATTGACCTTTTGCTCGTAAAGTCTTTTGGTTCATGGCTCAGCTGCTAAGTTTCTGCTTATTCTACTGAATTCTACTGAATCTGAGAAGCTGCTGTAGTGGCTTATCAGCTTAGCTGCTGTAGTTTCTGCTTATTCTACTGAATTATACTGAATCTGAGAAGCTGCTGTAGTGGCTTATCAAAGGGCGAAGTGATTTGTTAAGTGTTCATTCAGCCAGGGGAGCACAAGAAACGCAGAGGCGAAACCAAAAATTTTTCTTGTTCAAATTTATCATGCCCGTGGCAACAGAGCTGCCCATCTTAGCCCTATGGCATCCATGGTAACAAGCTTTTCAGTGACCACTGGGCCTACCGCGATCGCGATGGCGAAAGGTCAGGAGTCTAAAAACACTCCCCGCACTGGGAGGATTCTTGTGCAATTTGAAGCAGAAAAATCGATTGGATAGAAGCGGAGATCATGCGTTACAATCAGAAGAGGCCGAAGGTCTGCAAGAGATGTTTAGTATTCATATAACCAGTTTACGTGATCTACATCCGTACACAAACTTTTGCGGCGCAAGTTTGTTACGAAATGCACACTTCGCGACGGTTGATCGCATTGGTCCCAGCCGCTAAGAAAACTACGAAATTTAGGAAAGAGAAAATCTAAGAAAACTTGAGAACCCCTAAGAAAGCCTAAGAAACCTAAGAAACCTGAGAATACCTAAGAAAACATAAGAAAACCTAAGAAACCTAAGAAACCTAAGAAACCTAAGAAACCTAAGAAACCTAAGAAAACATAAGAAACCTAAGAAACCTAAGAAACCTAAGAAACCTAAGAAAACATAAGAAAACCTAAGAAACCTAAGAGACCTAAGAAATGTTTCTTAAATTTTCAAAATAACGATCTCTTCGAACGATCGGACAGACAATGCATTTACATGTATGTCTATCACAATTTGTTTGGGACTTTTTGCAATCAACAATAGCGTAACATTCGCCGTTGAGACGAATTTAACGGCCGCGTCGAAATCGGTTCAGCCGTTCCAAACATTCGTCAATCGTCGTGGCGAACGTGCCGATTCCGTGATGGGGAATTAAACATGATTAATCAATTTATGTTTTTGGGGCATATTAAAATTGTTTTTTTGCGCTCTAATTCCAATTAGCGTAAGCAAAGTCATATGCGCAATAGTTGAGACGAATTTAATGCAATTAACAGTTGGCGTCGAAATCGGTTCAATTGTTCAAACATTGGCTACATTATCAATCGTGTATACGTGGTTAATTTTCAATACTTTGTAACGTGCCGATTCCGAAGGCCGCTGTCTGTCTCGGTTTTTCCGAACGATCCGCAAACAGACAATGTATTTACCATGTATGTCTATGTATGGGGGCCCATGGCAACAATTTGTTTTTTGGGGCTACTCCTTCCCTTTTGGGGCGTATCGATGGCGCCATAGCTTAAGAACATTCGCGCCGTTAAGACGAATTTAACGCACTTGGCCGCGTCGAAATCGGTTCAGCCGTTCGCCCAAACATTGGCTACATTATCAGTCGTGTATACGTGGTTACGGATGTAGATAACCAGTTTACGGAGGACTACATCCGTAACCAATTTATCGGCGTCGGCTTTTGGTGGTTGATTAACCGTTTATGTTCGGATCGAGGCCGCTGGCCGAGGGGTGTCGTGTCATTTACGTACATGGGAAACACATGGGAACAACTTGTCCATGTATGTCTATGGAGGCCCATGGTAACAATTTTCCTTTCCCGTCCCCTTTTTTCCCCTCGAGGCGCATCGTCTCGGTAATAGCGTAACATCCACCGCGTCGTTGCAGCGGTTCTAGCGCACTTGACCGCGTTGAAATCGGCCTACCCGTTCTCCCAAACATAGGTTTTTTAACCTTACTCTGTCACGGTTGTTACGGATGTAGTTAATTACACTGGTGTTTTCTTTATGCACAGCAATATACCGGGTGGCCGAACAAAATGGCGGTCTGTGTTAATGAGGTGCGCTGGGTCCGTCCAGTGTTTTACTGATACTTCATTCATTTCATTCGGAAGAGCAAACATTCCAACATATAAAAGTTTAGCCAGATCAAGGTTTAGTATAGGTATGAGATTTTCGAGAAATAATTTTTGAAAATGATCAGATTTTGAGGATGTCCCAGAAACGAAAATTCCTATTTCTCCATTTCCAAACTAAAAATTGCAGTGATCCATCAGAGTGAGTTACTGAGTCTTACTTTACTGATTCCGATAGAGAGATTATTCCCTGTTTTTCTAGTGCATAAACTTTGGCATTCTACTGAACCTGAGGCCTAAACAAACGAGAAGACCAGAAACTTTACGTGGGTCAATCTTGTGATTTTTATAAGCCAGCTATTCGAAACCAATTCTCATACCAGCGCTTCGACAGCTGACTTCATTCTAACCCGTGCCCAAAAGCGCATTCACCTAGCTACACTTATCAGTGGAACAGGCTTTTTTTGTTCCACCCTGTGATGCACACAAAAATTATAACTGAAAATGCCCAAAAAACCACATAAAAAAAGCAAGAAAATTAAAAAAATTGTTTGGGGCATAGTTTACCCTGCGCATGCACCATGCCAACAGATATTTTTTTTGTCGAAAGAAGAGTATATTTTCTTAATAAAACAGTCGGAGAAGTTCGAAAATGTCATACGGAAAAGAAGTTAGACGAAAATTTAAGGTCTGCGAGCTGGGTCATTATAACTTTCGATATGATTTCAATTGACGCCATTGCTAACAAAATTCTTTTCATACAAGGTAAAACGTTTTACTATTTTTGGTAGCTAATAAAACTGCCTATTAAATGAGCCTATACAGCTTGCAATGCGACAAGTGGTTCTCGAGAAACAAGCCAAAAGCGGAGACCGCCATTTTGTTGGGCCCGCGTCCGATCACTTCGGCCGCGTTACATTTCGGCCGCACTGGTTCACTTCGGCCAACGTTCATTTCGGCCGTAGCTCACTTCGGCCAACACTCAGTTCGGCCAACGCTTATTTCCGCAAATGGACGTTTCGGCCATCATAGCTTTTTTTGGGTTTCCCTTGTTTTCGAGATTTTTTTTAGGTGTTTTTATGCTTTCTGAAAGTTTTTTAGGTTTTCTTAGGTTTGGTATGCTTTCTTAGGTTTCTTAAGTTTCGTTATTTTCTTAGGTTTCTTAGATTTCTTAGGTTATTCTTAGGTTATTCTTAGGTTATTCTTAGGTTTCTTAGGTTTCTTAGGTTTTTTAGGTTTCTTAGGTTTCTTAGGTTTCTTAGGTTTCGTTCGTTTCTTAGGTTTCGTTCGTTTCTTAGGTTTCTTAGGTTTCTTAGGTTTGTTAGGTTTCTTAGTATTCTTAAATTTCTTAGGTTTTTTAGATTTCTTGGGTTTCTTAGTTTTTCTTTACCTTTCTTATGTTTTCACAGCTGTTCTTTGTTTATCCTTTGTTTCTTTATGAAATGAAGATTCCTTTTAATTTTTTATGAGTTACTAGGTGTCGTACGTTAAGTTTTCAGTACTTCCCTGTGACTGTAGGCTTCCTAACTTCGCATCATCGGTCTTATGACGGTTGACGAGGTGTTAATCAGAACAATTAGAAAAGGGAGACATGATATTGACTGTTCCACTTCAAAAGACAAACGTGCTCCAACGTAATTGTGCATGCAAAATGAAAACAGAACAAAATTTCGCGTATTACGAGCACTTAGCATGTTACGCGGTGCAGGTTAAAAGTTTTGGTATTTCCGCCGAAATGTACTGTGGCCGAAGTGAATTGCGGCCGAAATGAATGACGGCCGAAGTGAATGGCGGCCGAAGTGAGTGGCGGCCGAAAAACTTTGGCCGAAATGAGCGCGGCCGAAATGAAAACGGCCGAAGTGATCGGTAGCCGTTGGGCCACCCGGTAGTGGAAAAATATTGTTATGTACCTATTAATAAGCCTATTGATAAGCGTTTCGACAAGGGCACCAGCGATATCTGACTAACCAGGGCTCGGTCACCGCCCCCCCCAGAAAAATTTCATTTTTTGTTTGAGGACAGAAGAGGTATGGGGAACACTTAAAAAAATACTTTCATCGGCAATGGTCCAATGGGCGTGGCCGAACACGAATTTAATGGTTGACATTATTGCATGTACTGCCAGTTGTCGTATTGCTGTGTTGTAAGCACATAATATTATGGTACTACAGAATACACTGATAAACTTATTCCGGAGGACTGTGTTATCCATTACCACTGTAATTTTTACTCTTTTATTTCATGTTACTTCCGAAATAACTGTTTTGAAAAAGTTAAATTTTTATCAATCTCTAAAATGCATGGATTTGCAGCACACGGGTGTCAGTCAGTACAGTCGCTATTGGCGAATTCTCTAACAACAGTGATTTAGGAAATAAAATCAAAGAAAAGTAAAAACTACACTGTAACGTATAACACAGAACTCGGAAATAAAGTTATCTTTAAATTACCATATGTACAATACAGCAATATACGGCAATGGCAGTACACTGCAACAATGTCAACCATTAAATTCGTGTTTGGCCACGCCCACTGGACCATTGCCGATGAAAGTATTTTTTTAGGTGTTCCCCATACCTCTTCTGTCCTCAAACAAAAAATGAAATTTTTCTGAGGGGGTAGGCGGTGACTGAGCCCTGGTAAGTCAAATTAATTATAAGGAAGGCTGATATCTGAAAAGTGTACAATGTTGGAAGTACTGTAATAAAGTCATAAAATTGCAAAACTTTTGATGAGTTCAAAGCTGCTACTTAACAACTAGAGTAAAATTCTCTTGAAGGATGATCAGGAAAAAATGAATTGGTGCTACCGGTAAAGCTCAAACCTAAAGAGAAAAGAGCTGTTTCCGGGGAAAAAACTTCGATTTTTAATGTTATCTAAAGCTTCTACGATCTAATCTAAAGCTTTGTAAGTAAATGCAATCGCCGGGATGGGAAAATAATTTAAAATAGACACTGTACTGCGAAGGTAACACCAGTATCTCTGATTTCTCTGTTAAGAAAAATGTTACGTTTCGCACATAAAAGTAATGTAAATACAGATACGTAGATATACGGCATATATGTACAGTAACTAATGTAAGACTTTTTGAGATTTGCATTAAATTATTTATCCATCGCTGCTATATTCCGCGCAGTTTGCGCGGGGTCTACTAGTTTGTATATATTCTATTGATTTATGCTAATTAGTTACCATTACCATGAACAGGAATATACAGTAGTCGAATAAACGAGCGCTGTGTGTGCTGTCATTGTCAAGTTCTAAATGGAATGAGCCTGAGCGAACGCAAGAGCTCCCCCTTTGCCTGGCTGAGAGACGGGGCTTGTGCTCTTGCAGCGCATCGGCAAAAATGTGCTACTTAGCTCTGTCTGTTCCTTGGCCACGTTCTCTCTTTTTCCGTCTCTCTCCTAATTGGTAAGTCTCCTTTCGAATTACTTGCGCAGTACACGCTTAGTCTAGCTGACTCCCTGCTTTCAGTTACTATAGTACTTTCTTTATCGCCTATTCAGCTTGACTACAATACAAGCTCACAGAAACTTCTACAGAAATACTGCGAATTTGTAAGTGATACAAGAAACCTACGCGTAGCTAGCATTCGGTGCCTCCATTGTATGGTATACCGATTGCGCAAAGGTTTTGCAAACAAATGCTAATGACAAATGCTTTCTAGTTTTCAATCAAATGTTTCTGACAAATGTTTTTCACTATCAAACAAATGTTTTTAAAAAAAATTTAACAAACAAATGTTTCTGACAAATGTTTTTCACTATCAAACAAACGTTTTTAAAAAAAATTTAACAGACAAATGTTTGTGACAAATGTCAGAAACTTTCTCACAAATGTTACTGACGAAATGTCCGAAGCCTAAGTACCACCGCAAATCTGAATGCGGACTGGGTGGTTGCGTTCAGAACGTCCGACTCGGACTCACCATAATGCTGAGTACTTAATCGTGACAACCGATGACTCAGCATTTTGGTGAGTCGAACTTGCTGAACGCAACCACTTGTCTGAAAGCTCTGACTGTCAATAACATTTGTTTGAAAGTTTCTGACATTTGTCAGAAACATTTGTCTGTTAAATTTTTTTTGAAAACATTTGTTTGATAGTGAAAAACATTTGTCAGAAACATTTGTCTCCTACAACTTTTTTTAAAAAAAACATTTGTCTGGTAGTGAAAAGCATTTGTCAGCAACATTTGATTGAAAACTAGAAAGCATTTGTCATTAGCAAATGTTTGGCATTTGTTTGCAAAACCTTTGCGCAATCGGTACGCCATACCATTGACTTAAGAACTATATCGATAGAAGAGGTAGCTGAATTTACGGTAGTTGTTGGGAATGCTTTTGTGCATTTGTTTTGACCGAGGTAGACGTGAACAGATCCGAAGTTTTTCAGTTTTACAACAGTTTTTGTTTTTATTTTAGCACTTCGTTTCTTTGAGTGCGAATGCTACCGAACGCTTGACGGCTAATATTGCAAAATATGCGTAAAATAATTGCATATTATTCCAAGCAGAAATAACTCGTACAGCCCGTTATCTGTTATGATCTGACGAGCCAGACGGTGGAAGTCTTTATATGTGTCATTTCAATGCATCAATGGCGACATCCTCGAATCTTTTTGCGAGAGATAGTTGCAGTGGTCTGCAATTCAATATGTCGAACACAGTATTGGTTAAATTGACTGAAAATGTTTTTTGTCTCGGATATCTCCAGGACATCGAAAATAATGAGGTTTTTATTGACTTCGATTCTGGAAGCGTACCGGCCCGTTGGATGCATACAAAAAATATCTGGCAGCACTCCTTAATCAAGAAGCCCCATCCAGTTAATGTCTATATAGCTCTAAGAGCCAACAGCGGCCCATGGCAGGGCGCTTACGTCTTCCGACCGGGCCAAATTCTGATGCCATGTCACCCCTTAACGTTGTTGATTTGCTGCATTGCCACATCTCCAACAACAGAAGGTGAAAATAGCAACGCGTTTTATGTCGTGCACCGATGGCAAGTGGTAGCGGAATTACCACATTCCAACCAAAATTCTATTTTTGGTCGGCTGTCTCAAATACCTTTTGTCAAACATGTGATTCCGTTGGAAGGGTCGGATACAATTGCAGTACCGGATGAATCCCGCATTGTTAAGTTTCTGGACGCAGCATTTCGTAACGCTCGCCCGTACGGTGGCAAAAATCCACAATTCATTGCAAAAACGGATCGCCTGTTCGTGAAACTAGGTAATCTAGAACACAGGCGAGTTTAACTCGCTCGGGCGGGTGGGGCACTAAAAACGGTAAACCAATCTGCCAAAAAAACTACTTACTGCTTTGAAATTTTTAAAAGTTACAAATTTGTCTCACCAGGGAACTCAGGGTCCTCCCCTTCAGAAAAATCTCGTTTTTTTGCACAAAGGTAGTAAACATATGTACTATGTAGGGCATTTAAAAATATATTTTCAGCTGCTGTAATCAAGGTAGGCGTGGTCAAACGTAATTTAAATTGTTAAGTTGGTAAGTACTTACTGCACATATGATAATAAATCGATTTTTTGTCAGTTAATTCTTTGATTTCATAAGTGACGCATGGCTTAAGGACAGCCAGAATCAGCTTCGGTACACTCAAGAGGAATTATTTTGTGACTCTTCCGATCATCTGCAGTTGTTCAGGGTGTTTTGACTGAATTCGCAGAGAAATTTTGTACATAAATAATTTAAAAAAAATACATTTATTCATCAGATGCAATCCAATTTTTTTAAAATTAATTGAGTTCAAACTTTTGTTAATCAAAACTACGAACGAAATCAAAATTTTTTTTTCTAAGTGCAAAAGTGTAAGGTTACGGTAAATGTGTGCAGCGCTGAAAGAATTAATCAATTTCATCTTGCTGTTCTCAAGCAATTTAAAGTTAAGTGGTTTTCAAGTTTTTTTAAAATGTGCGTTCTCGACAACGGCGCAAGGTAAGAAAGCGCAGTTTTCAGCGATTTATAGAGCAATAGAGGAAATGCGTTTACGCTGTCTCGTTGCTCAGAAATATCTGCAGTCTTAGGGTTTTTATTGGTCGATGAAAAATGATGGGCGGTCTTTGCTATACTATAAGCGTGCTTAGCTCCTCCCGCTGTGACGTCGCTTAGACTCACTAAATAACGGGGTGAAAACCTTATGCGCAATGTTATATCATAACGGAACGGGTGTGCAGTATGTACAGTATTTATTATTTGGATATTAATAATAATTTAATAATAATAGAATTAGGTATCTACTATCTAGGTATTTGTATACAGTACTAACCTAAGAGTCAATATCCTAATAAATAACGGTTCAACGCAATATTTATGAGAATTATGATGCGTATCCTTTACGCCATACCGTTTTTTAGGCCTATGGTGAGAATGTAACACCTGTCTTTCGGATAAGCACGCCGTATCCTAATCAGCTCAAACTGAATCCTTATATCAAAACTAATAATAAATAATATAATTGTGACAAACCGATTCACAAACAAGAAGGCACATACCTATGGTTCACAAAAAAGCAAATACTGTACAAATGGTTTCCAAACCTTTTGTAATACTTGCAAGCTGAAAAGTTTGAAAGTTTCCTATTGTAACAATTTAATGCTGCACCCGCATTTCAAATAACTTACATCAATGCGTTATAAAATTTTTTGCGCATTGCAGTTTCATAGTGATCAGTCTTTTTAAAGTCGTTTTCGAGAACACAAGATACAATGCAGGGCTGACCGATATTGTCTAATGACCATCGACCTGTTGCACTACATCCTATTTTCCCTATTCTCTGCTGAGGTTAGGAGCGGACAGCCAAACTGCCACCCTGAGTCGCTATCACACCGTGTATAGTGCGGCAAGCAGCCCACAGTCAAAGATCTCGCTTTTAATAATAATCATCGCACAGTTATGGTAATAAAGAAACAAGCACGCTATATTAATCACAACAGCAAAACTTCATTTTAACTATCCACTCCGTCCATCGTGCCAAGGATAGATGCTGCATTTCCGCGATGAATCTCCAACGATAGTCGTTGACGCAAAAACTCGTGTGGTCGACGTTCTCCAGTGTGCTCCTGAAGTCTTTTGCCCAACTCCTTCACAATAGCGATAGCCGACGGTCCCCAGGGGCCCATCGTCTCAAAGGCGATGGAAGAAAAGATGTAGCGCCCTTGCAGATACGCGTACAATCGGGACTTCCTTTCTTCTGCTTGTACAGCAGCAGCTCCTGCCGTAACCGACGTCAACGGTAGATGGGAAAAGGCCATCGTGTCGACACACGTCACATTCCAGGCCAGACACATTCTTCTTCTCCAGGCGAATGTTGTACAGCCGTCAGGGCGTTGATCTGTTGTGGAGGACGTGCCGCGTGGTTCGAGTTTAGCCGGGATACCAGCAGAAACACAGGCGCGGCACATGATACTGTTGAGCCCTCCATGGCGCGCATGCCTACCAGCCGAGTAGCTGCATGATAACCCGTGGTGGCCCAACTTGTCAACATGTTTGTGACATTTGGTGCAGTTATGTGGCTCGCAGATATCCGCTCCAAGACGCAGACCAAGTGAAATTTTCATCGTTTCGTCGTCGAGTAGGTTGCCAATGTGGGCTGAAGGAAGCGCATTCAGCCAAATCCCGGCTTCCGGTCTGGACTGTGCAAGAAGGCGGGCAGTATTGATGCCGTCGCCGCGAAATAATTCCAATAAAACCGAAACTGACACATTACAAAGCGGTAAGTCCCACGTTTTCTGAAGCTTTCGGAAGGCAACTTCAGGCATTTCTGATTGTTAAGTTTTGGCTTTCCACAACTCAATTGCTTCGGAAGCGTCCACTGCCGGTAGGTGATGAAGTATTGACGATAATACCAATGCCTCCTCGACTGACTGGCAGAGTTGCTTGTCTCCAACATGGGTAGTCGTCGTGGTTCACCCGCACGTTACTGAGTTCTTGGAAACAGGAGCGCAGTGACTCATTAATTTGATACAGCAGATGTGGATGCTTCCAGTGTTGCTTTACTTAGTAAAAATAAATAGTAAACCTTACTTAGTAAGCCGTTTTTGCCTTTTACTAATTAAGTAAAAAGAAAGTAAGCAGCAAAAATGGCGGCGAACACTTCTGCAGCAGTTACCGTAGGCGCAGCGACAGCAGAAGTGGCGTGGCGAGCCGTAGTTGGAGGGGGGCATAAAGGATGTTTCTCGCGCAAACTTTGGAGAACTTCGGGTGTGCAGGCGGCCACTGAATCTGTGGACAATAAAACTCTCATAGCGCCGGAGATGGATCCATCATCGATTTTCTGGCCAACTTGCCGAACAAGATCCTCTTCGCTGCAGCGTTGTTTCCGACTAGGGGGCGGAGAGCTTGGGGGTAGATCTGTACCTTGTTCATACAAAGCAAGGTTTCTCTTCACTGCAGTTGCAAGTGAAGCTGAGCGCTCGGATATCACTTTTTCTGGCAGGCGGAGGGCATTCGGACAGAACGACAGCAGTTTAAACCAAGATTGGCTGTCGTTTTTGGTGGCGACCTGCTGGAGAACTTTCTGTAGAGAGGATCTTACTGCGGGTCTTGCACCGTGAGGAATGCGACGTAGTATTCGTTCTTTACACGGGTGAAAAGATGCGGCTATAGGTGGGGCAGGAGCGGCACCTCCAGACCTACTGGACGTGGAGGTGGATGTAACCGCACCGGAGGGAACGACCGAGATAAGCTTCAGGTCCCGCGACAGGGTTTTGGGGCAAACGGGTCTGTGGGATCCCCAGGCCTGCAACAGTTTACCGCAGCCAGAACAAGAATACTGAGGCATGGTAGGAGCATTCACCGACAAGATTCGCAAAGGAAAAGAGCTGAAACTATGGGACTTACGAGAAATCCGCTGGTGTGTCGCTGGATGTCTACGGGACAGCTGCCACCACACAGCCTCTGGAGAACAACAATCTACCAGACTAGGTCCGGTAACCACCGTCCTGGATACTGAATGACGGGAAATTTGTCATTCAGGGGCAAAAATCATGAGCCCGAAACAAAATATAGCGAAAAATCAAATATCGTCATATGATCATATCATAGTCATAATTGTACAGCTATGTACATGTATTGCACTGTGGTCAAAGATTAGCTGGTTCTGGCTGTCCTTAAGGCTGCGAGTTCACCTGCTGTGGTCAAGAAAACCGCATTGAAAAAATGAAAACCACACATCAAGCATTTCACTCCAGTACTGTACTCCTGTCCTGTGCTTCACTCCTGTACTTTGCTGCAGCGCAGCATGAGCATCTGTATTCTATCTTTTATACATGAGTATCTGTATGAAAATGTTCTTTACTGAAATGGTTACAAATATATTCCTTTATCATCAGTTTTTCTCTAGAATTTCGTTTGAGCAACTATAAATTATCATGCTCTAAGTGTCTATCATATAAAAAACAACTAAACGGTGGTGTCACTCATGAAAACGAAGAAGTAACGGAGAAAAAACTTAATACTCTGTATATTAGCATATGTGAAGATATGGCTGATTTAACGACTTTAAATTGCGTTCGACTACGCCTACCTTGATTACAGCAGCTGAAAATTTTTTTTTTTTTGAATGTCCTACATATGTTTACTACCTTTGTGCAAAAAATGAGATTTTTCTGAAGGGGGAGGACCCCTATGTTCCCTGGTCAGTTTGCGGGTAAAGCAAAGTGCCGTGTCAAAATTAACATTAATTGCTTTTGTAGAGCGAAGACAGCGAGCCTTACTGCTGAAAAATGTTAGAAATTTTTTTAAATTTGTTTATAGTTTATAGTTTTTACCCCAGTTTATAGTTTTCAGAAAAATTAAAAATGCTGTGAAATAAACAGTTTCTTTATGTGATTTTTCATGTGGACGCAGATGGCGACAAAATTACCTTTGTAATCTTGGACATCCTGTGCCTCCGCTGTGTTCATGGTGGAAGCGATTTCTGGGCAGAATCCATTGGAGAGAAAATGTCAAATGCTAAAGGGCACTTGTTAGAAAGCGACTGCAACTCAACACTTGTCTCGAAAGAGAAATCCGTGAATACAACGAAAAGAATTCGTGAACTCAGTTTCGCCGATGTGAAGACAGAAGATTCTGGTAAGTGTATCGCATTCCGATAATTTATTGGTACAAAAACAGGTTTAAGGGCCGTGCCCCGATATATATGGCAACAAATTCAAGAACATGCACGAACACTTTCACTTTCGCGCACTCCCATGCACTTTTTTGCATCATTCTATTGCATTCTGTAGCGAATGACTTGTAAGTTATAATATAACTGCGCGACAACCCTTCGTGCACGCAACAGTTAGGGGTAAAATAAAATTCTTGAGCTCATTTTAAATAAAAAGTTTCATTTTGGACCGAACTACTTTAAATTTTGTGCAAAAGCGGACATTAGCATGGATCATGGAGACAACAGCAGGAATACGACTAACACTGGCTTGTCAGGAATATATCACGATGAGCGGTTGTCCGCTGCGGTAATGGTGGCCGGGAGTTGTCGCTCCCTGCTGTTACCGTAGGCGGTTAACTTTTACGTGTACGGTCACCGGGGCGGCTGCCGTCAAGTCGCAGCAAGCTGCTGTAGACTGGTTTATCTTTTGCTGCCTGATAGAAGGGTAGCAAGCTGACGACGAGTTTGTGGAAACAGACTACCACGTGAGCAGCGGGAGGAGAAGCACTTGGGCACATAGTTGTAGCAAGCGCAGCAATTTCCTTTCTTTGGCTCAACCGACCGGATACAGATGTTGTGGAGATAATATTTGTACAACCGATAAGACCACCCCGCAGTGAATCATCATTCCATCGCGTTATGAATTTGTGTCCATATTACCGGCTACTTCTCTTTCTCATGAATTTCTAGACTTGAGTCTTGTACTCCGCATCTCCTCTTGCTACAGCTTGCACCTACTTGATCAACCTTGTCTTAATCTCTTGCTTCGTTTCTTGATTGCACTTGTCATTAAGCATGCGTTGAGTTACGTTGTTGCGTTTCACCGCTTCGGATGAACCTGTGTCATCGCAATCGCAGCCACCTGTGTAATTGTGTTACATGAGTAATAGCGTCCTCGACCACCATCGTTGCCGGCCGTGCCACCATTCCTCCCAACAGCCGCATTATCGTGGTAAAGGCTGATCGCCACCCCATTAGAACAGCAACCAGATAGGCTGTTACAATATCTTTATAAAATTTTAAAACCCAACAGCCGTTTTTTGCTCGTTTTCGGAGTTAAAATACTTACTAGAAGAGCTTCGCATGCCAGTCAGCAAGGAAATATACTATGACTATTTTACCGCAGGTTTTTACAGTGCGGCAACTAGCCTCTTACTATTTTGCGACGCACTGCGACGTTATAATGGTACAAGTATCGGTCGCGCTAGCGCGCGACCAGTTGTGTTTGAGGTATGGAAGAATTAAAGAAATACAAATTATACTTCGTAAAGCATTAAAAAAGATTTTGAGAAATATTTCAAATATAAAACCCAGCGAGGCCAGCTACGAAAATATTTTAAACATTTGGAAATGCGGAATTTTTTCAAGCTTTCCGGTTAGATTCGACCATTTTCTGAAAACTGTGAAAGCCCCCGTAAGTTTTTCTTATTTCATGGTTCTTTATCGCGTTTTTAATGTAACTTTATATTACCGATCTAACGAACTGAAGACTTGAATTTTTTGGTACCACAGAAAATATTTTAACGGTGATAAAATGGATTGAGTGGGGTCATATATCTGCACACGATGCCCATAAATTACCATTTTTTTAACGCAGAATGAATGGAAACTTGCGGGGAACAGTTAACGGTCGCCCAAGGTGTCCTTGCAGGCTGCATCTTTAGATACTAATTGTAAGATTTTTTCAGCCATCAGTCAAGCTCTTCAGTATTTATTAAAATAAAATTAATACATGTTTATTAGATTTCGAGGTTAGTGAATGCCCAAGCTACCACCAGTATCACAGAGCCGCCATGTGAGTGAATACGGTAAACAGGCCGCGGGCCGGCTTTTAGATATTTTAATATTTAGAAATTACATATAAATTAGATAATTAAGGGATTTGCCCCGGCACATAGTACCAAATTCGGGTACATACACGGGAACTTTCGCTGTCGCGCAATCCTAAACACTTTTTTGCGTGGCTAGGTATGTACCTAATATTCATAACGGCTCTCATACTCATACTCATAACCCTACTCCTAATTCCGAATCCATACTCATAACGGCCCTCATAATCATAATCATACTTTGGTCCTACCGGTCATCATATTAATTTATTCATAATTATAGCTCATATCTTAACCATTACTCATGCTGGTGTGTCAAAAATGTAATATTCAATTACAACTATGTGTTCATGTAAGTCTACTCAACCGCCCGCTTTCGTCCACTCGTAAAAATTATTTCATCATAATTAGTAGCGAAAAAATATTTATTCGAAAATGGCTTCATTACAAAATGACTCCAGCAAACTTGAACTGGGTAACGAAAGCTAAGTAGTTTAATCTGCATATAAAACCTGCGCAAGAAAATCTACCATTGTCCACTTTCGTCCATTTTTTAAACTAGTGCTAATGATGAAAAAACCTGAAATGTTAATGGGCTTACTACGTAGCTTCCACCAAACAAAAAGTGAACGGCATGTTAACTTTTCATTTCCACAAAACTAAATTTCGACAAAAGCATCGTGTATACTGTACAGCAATAGAACACAGGAAGAGTAATAACGCAGTTTAATCGTTGCTAGCCAGGACAAAAGCAGATATCAAAAAAAAATTTTAAAAAAATTCAAGAACGGTGCACAATTTGCGCAACAACTATTACTACTTAGTGTCAATAATACGTTTTTTACGATTAATAAACAATATAATGCTTTTGCTAATAACATTAAGCGCAGTACCGCACTGGTATGAGTAGCGGTAAAGGTTTGAGTTATGATTATGAACAAAAATATAGATATGATAACCGGTAGGATCAAAGTATGATTATGATTGTGAAAGCCGTTTTGAGTATGAATTCTGAATTAGGAACAGGGCTATGAGTATGAGGACCGTTATGAGAATTAGGGTTTGCGAGCGCGCGACAGCGGAAGTTGCCGTGGATACATATAAATTTGGTGCTATGTACCGGGCCAAACCCCTTAAGACCGCGAGATATTGAGGTACTCAGACATTTCTAGACATTTTTAAAATTCGAAACTCTGGAGGCTCAGAAAATTAGAGGTAACGGCCCCGCTGCGCGGGGCCGAGTCGAAATATTTAGAAATATTTAGAAATTCTGGAAATGTAAAAGCTTTAGAGCCGACTTTGGAAAAATTAATAGTTATTTTGAGGTATTCGAACATGTTTTAAAAACATCTTAGAGGTTTCAAAAATTTAAAAAAGTTATAATTTTGATGGAATTGACAATTTAAATAACATACACAGATCTGTAGTTTAGGTTGCTAAGCTGCAAAACAGACTACAACAGTACTACAACGGTACAGTACAGTACTACAACTGTAATACTGTACAGTATACAGTACTGTAATACAGCTTTTATTATTATATTATAATAATACGCTGGCGATTAAGTGATAGTAGTACTACATTTAATTGCTACAACTTACGTACTGAGTACTGTAAAGTACTCATGCATTGCCAAAATAAGTAATTTTATTAGTAGTACAGTACCTTTAAGTACTAACAACATTTTAAGTACTGTACTGCAACATTTAAAAATGTTTTAAAAACTGCTTTAAAACTGATAATTTTTTTAAAGATAAAGGTAGGAACGTTTGTGTGATGCTCAATTTTATAAAAATAATAACTTTTTGAAAAGGTCAATGGTGATTTAGGAGATAATTTCCAAAACTAACAACTTTTAAGTACTAAAAACCCTTACGTACTACAACTTTCAAAAATTTTATTTAGACTTTCTCCAAAACTTGTGATTTTTTTAAAGATAATGGTAGGAACGTTTGTGTGATCCTGTATTTTACGAAATTAATAACTTCTTGAAAAAATCAATGTTCATTTAGGAGATAATTTCCAAAAAATAAGGACGTAAGGATATATGAATCTATTGATATGTCAACTGAATTTGGGTAACCGATGCGCGTGGGGTAGCCTAGAAACGCGTAAAAATCTATCCATGGCTCATCGAAAAAATTATCGTCCAACCAAAAGTCGAGTACGCTTCCGTGCGTAAGAAAGCTTTTTCAGCAGAACCGCCTTACAACTAGCGGGTCAGTCTCGTGCCGCATCTCATGCTGGCGGGGCGTTTCTCTGCCATTAGGAGCTTTTTTCGCTTCCGCGCTCGGCATTCCGCCTTTCGATCGCCTGCTGCTGAAATCTAGCGGAGACTTCCTTTCAGGCGCGGAAATTGTCTGCCGGGCTGCTAGCTGTCAGGTCCGCTTCCAGGCCGGTCGCCCGCTTCTCCCAATGGGCTGCTAGGCGTTCCATTGTTTGCAGTTCCGTGCCAAGCATAAAGTTTTCAAATGCAGATTCCTAGCGGCGATCCGCTGTTCTTATTTGCCGCTGCCGTTACATTTCCTCCACCGCCCTGAGGTTGGCGTTCTCGGCGGTCACGTTGCCCCCAGTGTGTCTAAAGTCGGGTGGCAGTTTCTGCCAAGTCGCCATTCTTGTACCATGAGCGCCGGATCGGTCGCAAAGAATGCGGTCCGACTATGGTCCGAAATTTTTCCTGTTAAGTCGGGCCGCCCTCTCACCGGTTACGGTGCGCAATCCGCGCTCCATTCGGTTTGTGACACCGGAGCCATCACGTTTCGAACTCTGCCGACTGGCGACGAAGTTGCCTAACCGTCCACCGGGAAGTCGAACGATTAGACAACATCGTCGTTCGACTTGGTCACCCGGAAGTCCTCCTTTGAGCTCTGCCGGGTGACCACTGGTGTAGACGGGTAAATCACTTCTTGGCCGGGCAACCTGGCAGGGCAACCCGGTATCGACGTAGTCTTTGATATCAAACGAGCTGACGCCTTGTGCGGGCGGTCTAGGTTCGTTGGCTATCATTTAAGGGTAGTGGGCCGGTAGATGGTACCAAATTCGTGTACATGGACGAAAACTTTCGCTTTCGCGCACTCCTAAAGACATTTTTGTTTCGGTTTATAAAGTTTTGTAGCCAGAAGATTTGTATATACTGGCGGGAAAACATGCATACAGTACATGTATGTTGTACATACAATATACATACACTGAATAAAGTACCTTTCGCGCGCAGACAGTATCATTTTTGTTCGCTTTTTTATGTTAGTGTACTAGTCAGATGAAGTACAGTTACTGTACTAGTGCTAGTCAGGTATATCGCGCAAAGCACGTAAGTTTCGGTGATTTTTTCGAATTTTGTCAACAAAATATTTAAGGGAGCGCAGCCGTTTGACTTGCAGGAGACACCAGTCGGCATCAGAAATTTAGATGCACACTTTGCTCGGCAAGGCGATAGTCTCTTCAAATACTACGTAGAGCAGGTACTAAAGAACTATACTATTTCAAGACGTTCCACGAGTACTGGGGTGCCTAGCAAAGTTTCAGGGCTAGAATTAGCTAGACAATCATAGTTTTGTACTGAGAAACTATGGTCGGCTCGCGAGGTCAAGCCAGGCCCACGGATTCGACACACGACGCACGGTTCCGACACTGCACTTCGACACTAGAGATGCACACGGATTCGACAGTGCACTAGAATAAGAAAATAAAATTAGCCTAAAACTTGCGTTGGCAAAAAAAGCAAACTCGGAGCAAATCGCGAGTCTGGTTAAACTTAAGCATTACGCGAGCGCCTGCTCCAGGGACATGATTGTAAAGATGTCTCGTGCAACTATTTTGCGAAGCCGTGGCAGCGCTTTAATGACTGTGCTGCATCGTAGCAGTAAATCAACTAACTACCAGTAGGAAAAAGAGGATCGTAGCAAAGAAAAAGGCAACAATCAGGATAGTTGCTAAGAAGTAGAAAAAGGAATATGACAATAAATCACGAGAATCAGGACACAGTACGTACGTATACTTCAGTATACGTATACGTATGTCATACAGGTGTTCTGTATATATATTAACCGGAAACTGCAGAGGAATTACAAAAGGCTGTTGTGCCACCGATGCGACACCAAAATAGCTAACTGCTGTTGTAACACAGTTGCGGCCAAATACTAGTAGAAGTAGTCAAAGGCAATTTTACAGGCCATAAAAGAGCAAAAGGTTATTTTAGCGCAAACACTGCGGAAGTGTGGTTATACTATTCCTAAAGAATGTTTTTTTTATAACTAGGCCAAGTGTCCATCGCTGTGCTACCTTTGGAAATCATATCTGAAATCTTTGCATACCTGGACAGTCATTCATTGGATAACATGCGCCGGTAAGGTGCTTAAGCGCACACTTTTAATCGATTCCGCTTGGCCATTGGTTTCTGTACTTCACGGTTTAGCAAGCCACTGAAGCCAGATACAACGACGCGACAAACAGTTGACAAGCCGCCACCAGTTAGATGAACCGCACTTTGTAGTATGAAAACTGTAGGTAACTGAAACCAGCCCACTTTATGGGCCGTACATCTGCTCACACCGCTTAGGCGACAGGGGCACTGAGGGCCTCAAAATTTGATAGACGGTGAAGTACTTGCTGCATAAACGGTTCCATAAATATTTCCACAAAAAAGTTATACACATGGAAGTTTGTGATTATCGTTATCTAGTTTCAAATCAGATATTGCTTCCAAGTCCCGCTGGGAGGCTGCTGCCAAAAAGGGACTTGGCAGCAGCGTGCCCTTAGTAATCGGTTTCGCATTTCTGTTCAAACCTAGCACCTGGCTGTTGGCGTCATCGGTTAAAGTTGTGGAGCTGCTTTAAGCATCCGCGCGGAAGAAGATCGCAAGGGATATGAATTATATGATTATGCAAAATCATTCAAAAGTAGTACAAAAAATTTATTCAGCCAAAAGTCGAAATGTTAAGTTGAGATATTTATAACAATATCGTTGCAGAATATGTGGAGCTTGGAACTTGTTACTGGCCAACAATCACGTATTTTCCGGCATCGTAATTATTGATTTTTACAAAATCCGTAAGAAATTTTATCGCATGGACACAGACGGATACCGCATTGCGTTCATATTGGACAAATGTGTTTGCCATCTTACCTCGATACTTGTCCTTGTTAATATGACAGACTGCAGTGAATTTTGTGCTGTCGATCGTGCGATTTCATCTATCCTGCGCCTAAAAAGTGTATTACTGGGGATGGTTATATTGAAGAATTATTATCGGCCAGCTTTTTTGCCATGCGTTTTGTACTCCGAGCCACCTTATCCAATCGAAGGAGCTTTAGCAACTCAATTCCCGCTATCGCTTGTTTCGAAACACTGCAAGCGTTTAATTCTCGTCGATTTCAAAGTCGCGATCGAAAATCGAGTGTTTTACTCCAGTATGCCGAAAATGCCTGGGTTTTGTCGGCCTTGTAACAACATTTTGTTGACTACTACAATACCGTATCTAAGTTTGGATATTTCCCAAAGCAATGAAATTGAGGTTGCACGTAATTTCAAAAACGCGTTGGAACAGCACTGTCTGCCACTGGAGGACGAAGCGAAACATCAACTTAAGTTGGTGTATACCAACTGGATTCGTGATGTCCCATTTTCCAGAGCTGAATGGACGGTGTTGAAAACTTTCCTCAAATTGTAAGAGATCAGCAGGACTACAGATATGTTACTGTTTTGCATAACATTCAAATTACTTACTTTTCACTGTAATTATAACTATCGGGCATGCCGTAACGAAATTCCCACGCTGTGACCCGTCGAGTTCGCCAGCCCCATCCACTGAACCTATATATATATATATGAACCTATATATATATATGAACTATATATATATATATATATATATATATATATATATATATATATATATATATAATTTCTAGGTCTGTTAAACTGTTGATTTCTAGGTCACTAATAATGGTATTCATTACTAGCTACGACCTAAGTGTGCCTACCAGCCGTTTTTGGGAAAACCTCGATTGGACGAATTTCCAAGCTCTTCCTTTCGGAAAATTGGCTCAAGCAATCGCTGCAAGAGATTATTTGACATTGTCCCCTAATGTCTGACATAAAGACGAATTGTTCTTCACTGTATGTGAAGTTGTGAACGATGGAGGACAATGAAACCCTAGCCCCATGTTAGCTATTTTAAGATATAGCCTGGCGTAAACACAACCATTAACCACATAGAGAACAGAAAATATCTATCAGTTCTATATTTCGGCATAAGCTGATACTTGATAAAGCCTGAATTGACAGATTTGCAGTCTCTTCTGTGTCTCTTGTTATCCGAATGTGGCTATATAAGTGCCAAGCCAAAACTGTACTCAAGGGGTTAACCCTGTACTCAAAGGGTTAACCCCTTGAGTACAGTTTTGGCCAATCTTGCAAATGCTAGATGGTCGACTCAGAGTCCGTTAGGTGAGCAGCCGACCGAGCTACCACTACTGTCCGGCGAACAGAACCGGTTAGGCAAGCAAGTAGTCGAGGTACCACTACTGACCGGATGTAGTCGAGATACTGTAGCGGCGTTATCAAGTTAGACCACACAGTTGCCGCTGGAGCGTTGTTCATAAACTAGTTCATAAACTAGACAGTTGTTCATAAACTAGCCATGAAAGTAGAAAATATTGGCGTAGTTAAAATAAGCAAACTAGCAAAGTAACGATCGAAGATTTGAAGGATTTCAAAGGAACTTACTTCTGACCCACCGACGATCTTGTTGATGAAACTTTGCACGTTATTGCGTTGACCAATAGCGACCTTTCCGCAAGTGTCTACAATTATTAATAAATCAACAACACTATCCTTTACTATTAAGTATGTGCAAAAAACAGTTGGTGGTTATTTGTAGTATTTGCCAGATTATATCTGATAACGAAAAATCCATGTTAATTACACATCGCGTGCGCACCTGCTCTTGAACCGCCTGGAAAACCGGAAGGCGCCAGCGCTCCAGCGGCAATAATCAACAATAATCCCGCTGTGGTCGCTTCATTGATCATTCTACCGAGTCACTGTGGCGCGACTTCTAATGGTATAATTACAAGTGGATATGTTTTATACTTCAAGTAACTGCATTGTCCAGAGTTGCCTGTCCAGTGTTGCTGCATTGCCGACATCTTGATTATCGCGTCGAATTTCCCGACGCGTTAGCAGAAGCTACTTTCTGGTAACACTTTGGGTGGGTTTGGGGAATCTAAACGTGGCACCGTACCACGGAACGGGAAAGTGCCACGGTACGGGAAGCTGCTCGCGGCAACCTGATTCTCCGGAGTATCCTGCCTTCCTCCAGATGCATTAGGTGGGTCTTTTTCTTTTTATGCCTATACGATGGTCCGTGATCAACCATGCCCGCACTGCCCAAAGCTGTTTACACAGGGAGCTGGATTAAAACTCCACGTGCGCGCCTGCTCCCGCAAGCAAGCAGAAGCCTTGGGTTCTCTTTCAAACCAAGCTCCGCTGTTGCCATCAGCACAACCTGGGAAACATTTCCTGCATTCTTTCCTTGAAGGGGACCGCTACCACATCCCCAAAAGAATCCCCAAAGCAGTGCGATCTCAGTGTGCTCGTACCTTAACCGATTTCGTCCTTAAGTGTGTGCGCACCAACGACTCTGCCAGCTGGATCGCACTGCTGCTTTTCGCACCAGCTGCTCTGTCGCTTCCCCCTGCCAAATCCCTACGAAAAGAATCGCTCGCGGCAGTTGTTAGGAGGAATCTCGCTGATCTCTCCTTGGAAAAGCGGCAAGCCGTCCCCCAGCGAAATTATCCTCACAAGCGAGATGTCACGGCCGATCAGCTGCGCGGGCAGGTGACGTCCAAGCTACAGGATGGCAATGTTAAGGGCGCCATCAGAGTGCTACTTGCAGATGATAAAATTGCAGACGTTAATCCTCGCACGGTGGAACTGCTACGTGATAAACATCCACCTGCGCCGTAGGATTGCAATTTTCCAGCGCCCCCCGACGATTCAGTAAATACCACAGCTGTTTCTCCAGCCGAGTTGATGTCAGCCGCATTCAGCTTTCCGCCCGGTTCAGCAGGAGGAGTATTTGGTCTACGCCCGCAACATCTGAAGGACCTCCTCGGACGTAAGGATGACACACAGAGTGAGCTGTGTCTTGCCCTGACGGATCTGGCCACCATGGTGCTACGGAAAGATGTACCTGAGGATATTAGGCAGTTTCTTTTCGGAGCGAATCTAATTCCTCTAAGGTATACGGCCGATTGCTGTCGGGGACATTTTGCGTAGACTGTGGTCAAAGATCGTTAGTGGGCAATGGGGTGATGAAGCTGCTGCATTGTTTACCCCATCTCAGTTGGGTTTCGGGATTCGAGGAGGAGCTGAAGCGGCTCTGCATGCAGTTAGGAATTATGTGGAGACGGTTCACAATGACGCACGGGTGATTGTTAAACTGGACTTTCGTAAAGCCTTTAACACATTGCGTCGTGACGTTCTCCTGTCCACCATAAAATCCCAATTCCCTGCCTACTACCGTTATTTCTGGCAGCACTACCGTTATCCCTCCCGCTTGTCTTGTGGCTCTTACCAGCTATCGCCAGAGACGGGAGTGCAACAAGGCGACCCGAATGGCCCCTCTGGATATAGTCTGGCAACCTTATCGCTTTTCGACGATCTAGGCCTCGTCCCCTTTCTGTAGCGTATCTCGTTACGATGCAGCACCATATCTAGCTTCGCTACAGTATAAAAGTGGGACACTATTTGGTGCGCGCCACCAAGATGCAGTACAGGCTACGCATATCGAAACTGGGCTCGTTCTCGGTTTCCTGTATCGAATCTCTAGTTTTGGCGGCGGCATTGCTGTACTTGCGTCCCATCGCATATGGTACTGTTTACCAGTTTTTTCGTGTTCTCGGTGGTAATAAATTCGAGGTTTGTTTGGAGGAATTCTTGCGTGGACTGTTTTTATGTCATTAGTTGAGTTAGTTAGTTATTCTAGTTAGTTCCTAGTCTGAATTTTGACATGTTGTTCCCTGGGTTGAAAGTTTTTGTTTGGCATCATCGTCCGTAGTTGGCGATTAGCCAGATCAGTCGTTGACTCGTTACATACGGATAATAATGACAGCTACATGCCGTAATATACGGATCAAAATGTGCATATTTAAATCTTTTTTTTCCTAGTGTTGCTTATTTCTTCTATTCAGTATTATTAGATGGTAATGAATGGAAACTTATTTTTGTATTCGCTAACACACTCGGTAATAGTCGGTTGAGCAATTGTTTTCGTCGCCATTCCGCTTCTCTGATTCTGAATGATGTTGTTATCTAATATTGACGAGCTGGAGTAGAATTTTTATTGTTTTGAGAGTAGATACAGGTGCTACACGAATCTCTTGAGTATACAAATCGTAAAACCATTTCGATAGGGAACAGGGAGAAGTAAAAAAACCTTAAGTAAACAAACTTTGATAGGGAATAGGGAGACGTAAAAAAACACTATGTACACACACCTGTGCAAACACATTCCACACTTTTATTGCCGTACATTCCGTACTTTACGAGCACACTGACCGGCATGAGACACAGAACAGAGAGAAGGCACTGATGATCATCTGATCTGATAAGCGCTGAACCAGGATATGCTGCTGCTGCCCGTCTTAATTACAGCACAGACACACGTGTATTTGCAAATCTGGTCATTTGCATTGCCGCTCATTTGCGTTTGGCAATTTTGATTTTCTCGCTAATTGCACACGTATCGCTCAGCCTACATTATCGCGAAAGCCTGATCCCGCAATAGTTCGTCCTGCATTTTTGTGTGGCTGTGCTTTGGTTGTTTTTTTTTACCGTTTTCATTCTCGCCTGCAACATGGACACACCTGCAGCTGCATCTGACGGCCAGCGTCGATCCCCACGTATACAGGAGATTGCTGCACGCGCATCACAGTCTGCACCATCGGCATCCACAACTGCGGCCACAGCACCGTCAACCACCGCACCTGGACATGATGAGCCACCGTCGTCTGCATCAACTGGCAACAGTTCTCAGGCATCTTCAGCCGCATCTGTGGCCGCTGCGTCATCCTCAGCGTCAGTTCCCGGGAGCATTGTTGCCCAGGTACACAAATAATAATTATTTATTCGTGTTTTTTGTACGTGCTGGCACATTTAGCTGTGTACAATCAGCAAACGTTTTTCATGCACACTATAACTATTTTGTCGTGCTATGCATTCTGCTGCTTGGTTTAGAAGGTTCCATGTCGACGTCCCCCGCATGACCCACGGATCAAGAACTGTCTAAATGTGGGCAAGCGAATGCCTGTGGCACCCGTGAGGATGAAGAGGAGGAGGATGAAGACTCGGAAGAAGAAGACACCGAAGAAGAAGACGCGGAAGAACCACAACCGGTAGGTACAATTTCGACATTCTATGGTTTGACGCCATGATATAAAGTTTGACACCATGTATAAATTAAACATTAGTATTTTATTTTCGTGATTTTGTAGGTAGCGGTGCCGGCTAAGCGTCGTGCGGGAGCTTTAGCGGTGCAGGCTAAGCGTCGTGCGGGAGCTGCTGTTGCTGCTGCAGCGCAACCGGTAAATACAATTTCGACATTTTATGGTTTGACACCATGATATAAACTTTGACACCATGTATAATTTTGACATAAATACTGATTTTTTGGCATTTCGTAGGTAGCGGGGCCGGCTGAACCTCGTGCGGAGGTGATAAGTCAGGGCAGCATGGCCTATGTCGATTTGAAGAACTCCTTCCAAGTCCCTATCGGAAGCGACATCTATCTGTCGGGGCAGTGGTTCGGACGGTACCTATTTCCTGTCCACACACTGCGGGCAACGGATCTGTCCCGTATACCTGTGGCGCCACCGAAACACCCTGACCGAAAACTGCCTGTTTGGGGGAAAGTGGACGCCAAGCTTCAGGCTAAACATGCGAAACACTTAAAGAAGGTGCGCCTGTATGGCGGTTATTGTTGCGGATACTGCTACGCACGAGCCGATGTTAAGTCGACGGTGTGGATTTTTTCGGATTACCGTCGTTCAAAAGCTCGACAGGAGTGTATTCGCCATGTCGTTGGGGAGCGTGAGACGACTGGAAGAGTTGCATCTGGGCCATGCCTGTATTTCGCGGCGGATGAAGTGGCTGCCGGAGTTAGGGGTGTCACCGCACCCACGCAGATTGAACCTTTGGTCCCCTATGTGAAGATCGCACCGGGCGGGAATTACGAAGTTGTGCCGCATCATGGGACGCACTACGGCAGCATCCGAAATGAATGAGCTGCGTTTTTTGTATCTTGTTTCGGGTAAATTTTGTATGGTTGTTTTTTGGTGTATGGTTCAATGAAGTATTTCGTTTATAGCTTCAATGTCTTGAATGCTCTGCAGTACTATTATTTTTTGTTCTCATTCACCCAACATTCCCATGATATTTTGTCGTGTATACGCTGAAGTACTTTTTTATGCTTTTTTTCATGCCACAAAATGAATTTCGAAGAACGAATCAACTTAAACGTTACATTTTACACATTTTACGTACATTTATGCAAATCTGCAAGCGCATGTATTGCATTGCCTCATTTTACAAATGTTCACTTCATGGTATTTAAGAACGAGAAATGCGATGAACGAACAATAAATTAGTACTACCACTCGCACGGAAAATATTAAGTCAAATTTTTTCTGCTCACACACAAAGTTTCTGTCCACACATATCATTTATGTTCTCAAGTACAACCAGTTAAGGTGTGACATACGAACTCGTTAGCAATTGCTCTCTTTGCATTGGATGTCATAAAATTTACAAGGGGAAATTGACACCTGTTTTAGCTTTTGATCTGCTTTCACCACACGTGCACCACATCGCACCGTTGTTTACTCTTGACCAGGCATGGCGCGTACGCAAAGCAAAGCGTAACCAATAAACTGATTCAAAATGCAATAAAATTTTCAAATTGCAATCTTGTAAGATGGTTGACCAGACGTGAGTTTGCCGACAAACGGCACACTTTCAGTTTAAATTTTCAAAGCCGTTGTAAGTTTTGAGTTTTTATCTGGACATGGATTCTCGTGCAACTTCCACGCCGAATACCGGCTGTACCAACGACATCGACGTGGACGATTTAAACCTAAGCGCTATTTTTGACCGAACGTTTTTGTCAGCTATGGCCAAAGAAGCATGGCCGGAAATTACCAACACCGAAGTTGAAGCTGGTACGTGCATACTACATTTAAATTAGGTGAAACGAAAATTTATTTCGCTTATCTGGTAGCCATGGCCAATATTTACGGCACAAGTGGGCAACATCGCGGAAGCCAAGATTCAACGCCTTCGACAAACACTTCTGCGGGTACCAAATTTTTTCTTTCAAATTCATTTACACATTTATCAGTCATGTACTGTTTTTTAGAGAGCGAGAACACCCGACCGGAATTAAAAGCGGATGATAGCGATGTCATCGTCGTAGATGATCTGGTCCAAGAGCCATCCAACGGTCGAATTCCGGTTAACAGCCGTAAGTAAACTGAATTAATATTATTGTTATATTTAGTATAAATAAGTACAGTATCGGTTTTTCTAACGCAACGTACAACTTCTCATGCCGCATATAAATTTTGATATCACATAGAAAACGTTTGACGCCATTTTTGACGCCATGTATAATATGTTTATGTGTTTAGCGCAATGGGAAAATCCTGATCAAGCCGACGAGCACGATGATGATATTGTCATCGTTTCATCATCTCAGGCTAAGAAACGGAAGCCTCTTGTGCAGACGTATCTTGCTCCACCTGGCAACCGGAAGCAAGCGCCACCGGCGCCGTACAAGAAACGAAAGGCTATCCATGAGCGCTTCGCGAATATGCCAGCATCGCCCGTACAGTACGGAGCTGGACTTCCTCGAAGTGTGCTTAGCGCTCCCCCTGCTCCGCGGCCGTGGCCGCCTGTGGCTATACCCGGATTGAGGCGTCCACCGGTCATGCCGGGGCCGCGCCCCAGCACTTCGCAGATGGCAGCAGCAGTTCCACGTGCCGAAATGACGATAAGGCCGAACGTGCCCCTCCAGCTAGTACGTCCGTGGGGAGTTCCAGGATATATCCCGGCTATGCCTGGATACTATCCCGGTATGAGAGGATTTGGGCAACCATTTCCGCACTGGTATGAGCCGAATGCGTATCAGCGTGAGTACGACATGATGATAAACATCATGCACGGTTTTGGTATCGGGAATGCCAACAATGGGCACGGCTTCGGTTTGAACGGAAACGGAAACGACAACAACAATGGGCATCGCTTCGATAATAACGGAAACGACAATCATGGGCATGGAAGCGTCGTCAACGGAGATAATAATAATAATAATGGAACTCAGTAAGTTTCGGCGACGCTAATTATTTTGCCTCAGCGCTGTTATTATCTGTGCGTATAATTATGTTTAGTTGCATGTTATCGTTTTTATTTATACTGACCGTACGATATTATGATCATTCCGCTAAAATTAATCCTGTGGTTTAAGTGAAACTGTATAAACATGTTGATGGTGGATATTTGATTTTTTATGCATGTTTCACTGCTCAATGTTAAGCCGCATATTGTTTGTATTTAGTGTATACCACTCAACAGCGTGTTATTTCTGTAATCATGCATTAAACACTGATATGAATATCCGGATTGATGTATGTGCATGCATGAGACGCTTTTGCATTGCAATATATATATACATATATATGAATTATGACAAAATTAAATAAAACTATGTACCGGTTGGAGATCTGTTGTGTTATCATTGTCGTAACTATGTGCATATCACGCTAGCACAAACAGCAACAACGGCCAAAATAGAATCTTAATTTATTTTTAGAAACAGAAAACTGTACCAAATCAACCAAAACACACGGCGCATTACGACTGCAGACAACTTTCGCACCACCGAAGACAGTTTTACCCTCATATATCGGCTCAATCCTCAGCCAATGTCTCTGATGGCGGTGTTAGCGGAAGTACGTGAACTCTTCAGTCAACTTTTGGCGGAGCTCTTAGCGTACCATCGTGTGAACGGCAATGACCGAGTGCGTCTCGTTTTTGAGCACCCCGAACTAGCGAATCGTGCATTCTCAACGCCGGTGATGCCGGTGAGTCAACTAACACCTGATTTTATCATCCAGTTAATCATCCGGATCATGCAGAGTGGAGCAAATTTTTATCTTTTTACCGACGATTTAAGAATTACTTTTACTTTATGTCGGAATATTCTTGGACACGGTCGCTTGTCAGCTAAAAAGGCAGATTAATGTTCAAAGTGGATGAACTACTTGAGCGTTCACAGAGTATTATTTGCATTAAAAACAACGAAAAGTATGATCCTGATGGAACATTATGTGCTTCCCGAGCCGTTGTGGTTGGATTAGCGAAAACGCTCGGTCTACCTGGCTATAAATCTGTACATGATTCAAAGAAGCGGAAACAACATGACCTAGCTGCACAACTACGTGCGGAGGCTGGTGTGCCGGATGGCCCCGTGGATTTTGATAGCATTGAAAAATTCGGTAACCTTCTACTGCATCGATACGATGCACAGTTAATTGTCATCGATGCGGAGCTCCAGTTCGAAATCACCTATTCCACACCTTTTCGAAAAAACCTCGTCGCTATACTATATCATAATCAACATTTTGATTGTGTAACCAAACCATGGACGATTCTGGGCTTTCGCGCGAGATGCCTTATCTGTGGTAATTTTTACCATGATAAAAACCGTCACAAATGTTATCGTCCCTGTTACTCCTGCATGCAACCGGACTGTCGATTGAATGATTTTGTAAAAAAAGTCTGCTACGACTGCAATCGCAACTTTTCATCCGATGAATGTTTTCAAAAGCATAAAGAACGAATTGCTTACAAATCCAAGGATCTTACCGTTTGCGATGCTTGGAAGAAATGCGAAGACTGTAACAGGTAACTACTATAATTTATTTAAAACTTTTTAACGTTGTTAATAACAAATGCATTGAAATATATTTTGCGACTTTAAAAGCTAATTTATTAGGTACATAAATCCACCTGGCCGGAAGTACTCGGACCCACATGTCTGCTATGCGACGCTGTGCCTGAATTGTAAAGAGTTTGTTCTTCCTAACCATTTGTGCTATATTTTAAACGGGGAGAAAGCGCAAAACAAGAAAGCAAAACCCAAGACTCATGCGGTTGCAGAAAGTGAAACTTTAGCATCTGAAGATGATGCAGTGTCGGATTTTCTGGACGACGATGCGGAAAGTGACGCAGTCAACGAAGAGTTTTGCGATGATGCAGAAGAAGACGTTAGCGACGACGCGCACGATGATTGTGAAGATTCCGGATCCCCGATTTCCAGATCAGATGGAAAACAGCAAGTCCGTTTCGAGAACAAAAAATTTGTTTTGATTTTGAAACATGTCTGGACAACAGTCGATATCACCAGCCGATGGTCGTGGCCATGATGTGCTTGGACGATGATTCGTTTGAGATTTGTTTCAGTGGATACGGATGTGTTTCTGAGCTACTTGAATGGATTTTTAAAAACTGCCGATCGTGCACCTTTTTGTCACACAACGGAAAGCGTTACGACAACTTTTTCATCCTTAGTGGATTAGAAAAGGAAGGCCACATCGTCGAGAAAATTCAAGATGGCTCCAGTATTACAATGCTAAAAATTCCCGGGCTGAAGTGCAAGTTCATCGACACGCTGTCCTTCATGCCACGTTCTCTTTCGGAGCTTCCAAAGGATTTGGGAATTGACCATTTAGTTTTGAAAGGATTCTTTCCTTACGCGTTCAACACGCCGGCAAACCAAAATTATCATGGACCGTTGCCAGGTAACAACTTCAGAAATAAAATTTTACTTTACATGGCGTCAAAAATGGCGTCGAAATTTTAAAAATTGGAATTTAAAAATTTTAAATTTAAAAAATTTAAATTTAAATTTAAAAATTTAAAAATTTTAAATTATTTAGGGAAAGAATATTTCGACTGCTCAAGGATGTCAGGCAAGAAATTTGAAGAAATTGAAAAGTGGTATGATGAAGCGGTTAATACGTTTGGGAATAACTACAACCTCCTGGAGGAATGCAAGAAATACTGCGTGAACGACGTTTTGGTTTTAAGAGAATGTTGCCGGATCACACGCAAAAACTTCATGGATATGTTCCCTGGTATTGATCCATTCGATTCTGTAACAAATCCGTCAGCAGTGCTTCTGGCTTTCCAAGTTCATTATTTGAAACCGAACACCATCGGGATTATTCCTCCAGGTGGTTACGGCGGGCGACAAAATCAAAGTTTCAAAGGATTTCAGTGGTTGTCGCATATCGAAAGACAGTTGCAAGAGAAACAGCCGGAGGATTTCCTTCAGACTGCTCGTTCAGCTGCAGGTGAAAAGCTTTTGGACGACAAAATATGTGTTGATGGATTTTGGGAACCCACCGGAACATGTTATCAGTTCTACGGGTGCTTTTGGCACGGCTGCAAAAAATGCTTCCCTGACCAACGGAGAATGAACACGGTCAGAATGCGTACTTTTGGCGAATTGCGGGAGGAAACGCTGAGGATTAAAAGAAAGATTGAAAGCTACGGCAGATTTTTTGTGGGAATCTGGGAATGTGAGTACGACGAATTGGTTAAAAGTGGAAAAATCATACCGCAAAAAGAATTTCGGCCACCACTGAATGTACGTGACCACTTGTTCGGCGGAAGGACTGAAATTTTTGCAATGTATAAAGAGATTCCGCCACCGCTGAAAGGAAAAGCTTTCGATTTCATATCCTTGTACCCGTCAATAATGGTGTACGGCAAGTATCCTGTGGGCCATCCTACGATTCTTTACAATAACTTCGGCGACCCGTTCGACTTATCGGAATATTATGGCGTAATTTACTGTCGTGTACTTCCCCCTAAGAATTTGTTTGTGCCGACGTTGCCAATGCGACTGAAAGATGGAAGAACCGTCTACACGTTATGCAGATCATGTTCGGAAGAAGTGAATATTGCCAAACAGTGTGAGCACACAGATGAAGAACGGGAACTTGAAGGTGCATGGATAACTCCCTTGATGGAACAAGCGGTATCAGACGGGTATAAAATCAGCAACATTTTTGAAATCCACCATTTCGAAGAAACATCGCAATTCAATCCTGAAACCAAAGACGGAGGAATTTTTGCTCAGTTTATTCTCGACTTAATCCGTGACAAAATTGTGAACAGCGGGTTTCCGGCGCACATCGTGACGGAAGAGGAGAAATGGGATTACTGCCGCAACTACGCCGAAAAGCTAGGAATTGTTTTTGAACCTGACGAAGTGCAGCTAAATCCAGGTGCAAAATACTGTACGAAAATTTGGGTCAACGCTGTGTGGGGCAGGTAAAAGCAATATTTTCGATATTTTGTAGTGTGCTGCTGTAATAAATTTTTTTTTTGGATAGGTTTGTTATGAAAGCGCTGTACCAGCAACATAAATACTGCAATACTTATAAGCAAATGAAGGACATCGTTTTCAATACATCGTTCGAAACAAAAGATGTTCGGATCGTGAATAACGGCAAAGCGTTGGATGTCACCTATATGGAAAAGAAAAACTGGGTATTATATTTATTTCGGATTGATTTTTGTCAGCTTTATTCAGCACCGCATTTTATTTCTTTTAGGCTGCGCCAAACAAACGATGCAATCCGTACATTGGTGTTTTCACTACTGGTTTGGCTCAACTGAAGCTGTTGCAACAACTACGGCTAGTTGAGGATCGTCTTCTTTATTGCGACACGGACTCCGTTATGTTTGTTAGTGAACTGGAAAAGCCAGATCCACCTCTTGGAGATCTGTTGGGCGAGTTTTCCGATGATCTGGGTGGTAATTATTTCGTCGAATGGTTGGCACTGGCAAAGAAAACGTACTGCCAAATGATGTCTACCGGAGAAGAACGAATCAAATGCAAAGGTATTCCAAAAACCGAGGCGCTGAAGGATCGTTTCCATGGATCGGTGCTACGGGACATGTTATTCAGCACTGGCCCATCAACTGTCCAAGCATGCGATGACATAACGTTCAAACGGAACACCACGGACTTTATCATCCAAACTGTGCCTTTGCAGCGGCGCGTGGGATGCACATTTACCAGCAGAGTGATCGGAGAAAATTTTGTAACGTACCCGCACGGATATGAAAATATTCCCTTTCCTAAAATCGGCTCGAAGGAAATGGATCTCGTATTTAATTTGCTTGAGAAATACACCCCTGCTATGTTGTATGAAAACATTGACGATGATGTGGCTCTCGAATCCTTAGTGGATTAGCATAATTTCTACTAATTCTGGTTTGCGTATCTTTATTTGTGTTATGGCGTCAAAAATGGCGTCAAAGTGTATACTATGTTCTTTTTGATTTTCTACTTTTCTGTCGAACAACTGAATATTCTTTGCATTTATTATATTAAAAAATGTGAAACATCGGTTGACATTGTCTTCTTTCAAAGTAAAGCCGAGCAAAAAAGTGATAGCGCAGAAATATTTACAATTATTCAAAACTGAGTCCACACAGAGATTGTTTGCTTTTCCGTTCTACACAAATAATGTCAAACTAATAGGATCGAACAAGAATGATGAAATTTGCAATACCTATGAGTGCACACAAATTATTCTAATATGCATTCTGCCATGTGCAATGCAGAAATTTCCATATCCCAGGCTTCCGGCTTGTTGAAATGTCCCAGCGGCAATTCCTGTCCTAGTTCATTCTCCAAACGGTGAAGTAAGTAACACAACGTTGACCAAGTTCCCGCGATAGACTTCACCCCTTGTGCAATCCGAATACATTGTTCTTTGTCAACACTAGTTTCAAGTGGCGTTGGAAAACACGTCACGGTGGTGTTTCGCTTTCCACGGAAAGAGATCGTTTGAGCAGTACCATCCGTACGAGCCAGATGCATATTATCAATGACCGAGCAATCTTCAAAAATTCGGAATAACTGCGCCATTTCTAAATCGTGTAGACAGATGCCGTTCTTTTCAATAAGGTCCAAATCGACAACGTTTGGTTCAAGGGTTGTAACCATTTTCACCTTCCGGTCACACCAAATCACTAACACCATAACACTGCAATTTAAATAATACACTGTCGCGCCATCAATACTACCGATTTCACGAAACTCATTCCTCAGAGCCTCAATGTACTCTTTATATCTAATTTCAAATGCTGCGTCCATTGCATAAAATATAAGAACTCCTTACTAAATCAAATACAAATGGAGAGATCTAAAATTTGCAATCTTTTGTTGGTAGCCGGACACAGCCGATTATCATCAGTGTACTTGTGGGCAGTCCCAACTATTTAGGCCGCACGCGATTGGTCAGAAAGAAAAAATAAAAAATTGTTGCCAAGATGGACGCCCAACAGATACAACGCCACGTGCTGGACATTTCACTCATCAGTTGGTTTGTTCAATTTTTAAACCTAAAAATGTCGCATTTGAGAGCCGAAAATAATGGGCGTTTGAAAAGCGAGCTTGTGTCAGGGCTTTGTTCTTCCGGAAGTTCTCGCTTACCAGTACATGATCAAAAATCCCTTTTGTATAAACGCCGTGTCTCTGCCTTCAAATTTATCGTTGCGTATTTGATGAACCAGCAGTTCATGCAATCGGAGCGTTTGGCCTGCAAGGGGTGTTATTCTGTGTCACTGGAGCATTCATGCAAAAACCGACTCAATGATCGTAATTTAAAGTCTTCAGTCTTTTACATTTTATTAAACACTCTCAACAAAAGAAAGCTGAAAAGAATTTTCAACCAGGTTTTCGAGGAATATACAGGCGAAAAGAATAAAATCTGCACTTGTATTTTATATTATAAATGCCTGACTATCTGGAGACCGCTGATGCGTAAACAGTTTTTGGATAACGCTCTTCCTAAAGGTTTGGACAAAAAATTGGTTAAAATCATTCATGGAATCATTGTTGAAAAAAATTTATCTTAACCCAGCATCACCTGGGGGTTTCGGTGGCATCAGAAAACTTCTTCATGCCGCAAGAAATGAATCATGTGAAAAGATTTCTGAAAATGATGTGCGTGAATTTCTCACAGCTCAGCCAGCTTAATCTTTGCATAAACCTGTCAAGAAAAAATTTGCTCGGCGACCGTTTGTTGTTATGTCATTTGGTGAACAACTCCAAGCCGATTTAAGTGACTACAGTTCATTAGCTGTACACAAAGACGGATATAACTATTTGCTTGTGGTAGTCGATTGTTTTTCACGTCAAGCGTGGGTGGAACCTCTCCGGCAAAAGTCTGGTATTCAAGTAAAGGATGCTCTTAAAAAAATTTTACAACGTTGCGGTTTTCAACCAGTGCGACTGCAAACGAACCTGGGAAAAGAGTTTTACAACCAACATGTTTCTGGTTTGTTAAAAGAGTATAATATTGATCATTTCTCTACTCAGCACGCTGAAATAAAAGCCGGTTTAGTGGAACGTCTTAACAGAACAATTTCAACAAAATTATTTCGCTATCTCACGTTTAACAAATCAAAGAGATGGATTGATGTTATACAAGATATTTTGGATTCATACAATAATTCGCCACATCGCTCACTAAAAAACCATACGCCTAAAGAAGTAAACAAAGAAAGCGAAGCAGAGTTCGTGAAAATAATGAAAGAAACGTGGAAACTTAATCATATTTTGACAAGAAATTCGAAAAACAACATTAGAGTGGGAGACTACGTTCGATTAAGTTTAAAAAAACTTCCCATGAAAAGGGATACACGATTGGGTGGACCATCGAAGTGTACAGAATAAAAAGCAAAGATACAAAAGATGGCGTGGAAGTATTTTTTGTGGAGGATTTGAAAGGGGAGCAATTAGAAGGAAAATTTACCTAGAAGAATTGCAAAAAGTGGCGAAAGAAACGAATGAATCTGCTGAAATCGCTGTTATTGGAAAAAAGAGAAACAAAGTTCTTATTCATTATGTTGGATGGAATAAAAAATTTGATGAATGGATTTCAGTTTCCGAGTTAGCTAAACGTGGTCTTGTGCTTGTTTAAATAATCAATCATGGATTTTACTATTACTGCTACTTCTGTTAAGCTGAACGGCAATACTGCCTCTGAGTTTACCGTGTATTTACCCGATTATATGCAACTCTCGTCAGCTTATTAAATGGCTTAAACGTTTATACAGTGTCCGAAGCCAATAAATTCTGATGTAACCACCCTTTTTGTGCACTCTGATTTAATAAGAAGTCAAATTTTAAATGATTCAAGAGTTTTACTATTAGCTTTGCTGTCCGTCAAAGAAGCATGTGGCGGAAACGCATCGAAACGTGGATCGTACACTGACATTGCCGTCAATCAGTTTGACAGAATTTCATTCTCGATAACGGATGCAAGCGGCAAAAACATTTTATTTGAAAAAGGCGCTACTACTGTACTTCAGTTACATTTTCGGAAAAAATAATCATGGATGATATCCAAACGTTCAGCATACCTGCTCAGGTTTATGTGCAGCTATTATCACCAACATATAACCACAGCGAAGGGCATGCACAAACTGGATATGGCGCTATTGGGAATTTTTTTGGTAGTTTGGCTAGAACGGCTAAAAATATAATATTTCCAAACCTCGTAAGGTTAGGGAAAAATGTTGTTAACGACGTCCTTCATAACAAGACGCCTCTGTTGGATTCGGCTCGGAATCATACTGTGGAAGCTATGCAAAACATCGCTAGTAAAATTCAGGGAGGGTCCGGAAAGCGAAGAAAGCGCAGAACTCGCTCCAGAAAAGTTGTCAAAAATATAGAAAAGGCAATCACGAAGCGGAAGCGTCGCCATCGAAAAAGGAAGCAGCCAGCAAAACCGAGAAAGCGAGCTGCTAGAAACCAAAAGCGTCACAAAAAATCAAAAGTTAAAAAATCTTCGAAGAAGAAAAAGCTGCGTTTTCCTCTGAGTAATCTACTGAATCAGAAATAATTTTCATAGAAAGCTACGTGGCAATCATGGATCTTCAATCAGCTCCTCTATGTTTAAAGTCCGAGTTGGACCACTTTTCATTTCCGCCTACCCAAACGGCTATCGAATCTGCAAAATATGTATCTTATAACCCAATTGGGAATACTCTTGATGTTGATACCCTTTCATGGGAAATCGCTGGGACTCCCGATGAAATGATTGATTTGGCTCACAGTGTAATTTTGTTGGATGTTTGTGTACGAACCTCAGGAAACGCACTACCAGCGGATGCATTAAATTTTGGTGCAGTGAATAACTTAGCGCGTAGTTTATTTAGCGGACACGAACTTTTATTTAACGGCGAATCAGTTTCATCGATACCATCGCTATCACACTACGCATCGTACTTTGAGAATTTATTTAATTATGGAGAGCATGGCCATGAGCAGCTGTCACATGCTGGATGGGTTCCCGAAACCCCAGGTCAATTCGACACGTTGTTGCTGGCAGTACCCGACCCAAATGATAATGACTTGAAAGTTAATGAAGCGTATGTTGCCCGAAACCTGTCTCTTAAAGCGGGAATCACACTGCGTCTGTTTTTTAAATTTCCGTCTGATTTGGCTAACCAGCAGCGTCTGATTCCGACTAAAGTGGACATGAAACTTGTTTTAACACGGGCTAAAGATAAATTTGTTCTCATGTCAAGCGTTCCAGCCCTAGATTTAAAAATCGTTATTCAGAGAGCAACACTACGTTTGAAAAAAATTAGGTTGGACCCAGAATTTTTGCTGGCTCATGAAATTATGTTGCAAAAACGTAATGCCTTAATTCCATTCATTGAATCTAACATTATGGAAATGACTATCCCGAACGGAAGTAGTCATTGGTCGCGGGACGATTTATTCTGCGGGACAATTCCCAAACAAATTCTTGTCGGTACTGTAGATTCGCAAGCTGTTGGCGGCGTGTTAACAAGAAACCCATATAATTTCGTTCTTGCTGGAGTTGGTCAGATTGTAACTTATATCAACTCGGAGCCGTTCCTAGGGAAGCCTTTAGAATTAGGGGATCACAATTACCGCGATGGTTATCTAAGCTTAATGGAAACGACCGGAATGCTGTTTAAGAATTCGTGCCTGTCTTTTATGCAAGGCGACTGGGGACGTGGGTTCGCAATTTACGGGTTCAATTTAGAACCGGATGTCGGAGATCATTCATGCATTAATGCACCTCGCAAAGGAATTTTAGGATTGTCAATTACATTTTCCACACCAACAACCGAGACCTATTCAATTTTAATTTACCACAACAGAAACGCGCTGATAGAAATTGATTCTCGCCGGAATGTTTACTGC